CTTTGTGGGCGCAAGGCGTATTCAATCGGACCGGATGGCTCTGGACACTATCCAAGTAGTGCTTGAGCTCCGTGCTCTTTGAAAACGAGAACAATATCTTATATTCCAGATTGTGAAGGTTTCACCTCGGGTACCGAGGACTTAGAGACCTTACATAGTTCGCTTCTACTTCACCGGTGAATAATTTGAATAATAATGAAGCATGTAACCATTCCTGTCGCAAACATTTGCTTTCGGGAAAGCCTTTAGAGCACCATTATGTGCTCACGAGAGCTCTCAATTAAATGAATAAAAACAGTGCTTAACATTCACGAACCGTTGGTGCTTACACTGTTTTGCTAACATGTTAAGAAGAACTATCTTGTCGGCAGAATAGAAGGCACTCCTGAGGTCAAGGAAAACCAAAATAGTTGGTGTTCATTGTGACTCCTGACTGATTGCAAAGATGTGATTCTCGCGCGGAGCTCTGCCTAGCATTCTTGGGTCACGTCTTCGATCTGTATATCGAATCTGGTTAGAACGGGAGTGAAGAGAACTCTAGTGTGATAGTTATACTTGCTAGGAGCATCCTGGTTTACTCACTACAGTTGGTTTGGACGAACCTTATCGTCCAGGTAGGGGTAAACAAGTTCAACAAGTGATGACCGAGGAGCCAACTTTTCTCTTAAATGGGGTTTCGTCAGCACAGTCAACTCGAGGGGTCTTGATGGAGAAGATGCATCTACCACTTTTCACAGACATCCAGGGTCTCCGTTTCGCTTTCCCGGGAAGCTTTGGGGACCAAGGATTTAGAAGAGAGCTGACCAACCTGTTTGATTTGTTAGTTACTTGCTAGTTACTTTTGACAATGAACAAAATGGCCTCTAGCTATTTCCGACCAATAGATGGGAGCGGCCAATGGCCTAGATGTGTGGACTGCAACAAGTGCTCGAAATATGGCTTGGAAGCCCAACTTCACAAAAATTTTGGCACAACTTCGAACACCTAATTGGCCTGCAGTGATTGTTGTCGATTATTTCGGGTTAGCCTTTCTAACACTTACACCACTCAACATAAATGAAATAAACTTGGCCAACTGAAGACTTCTAGTGCAAGCTGGTGCCTTCCCTGCGCCCAGCTGGCAAGTTACACCAGTGTGGTGATGTGCAAGCTGTCCAAATCTTTAACAAAAAACTTCCAGTAGTATCATATCTAGGTTATAAGTGCTTATCGGACAAAACACCTAGATGAACAATCGTCTCGGCACCCCGAGAAAAGCATTAATCAAACGAATTTAAACCACATACAATCTGACTTAATGAAACCAGAGTGGAGACCATTACGCTTATAGTCTTTACTCGAGTACTGCCAGAGTACTGACACCGAAGCGACTTCTGGACCTCAATGCAACTGAGCAAAATTCATCGTTGTCACCGCGAACGAGTCGATTACATGCCGATCTATCGAAGGCAGTTCTTCCTGGGCGACTACGCCATTATTTAAACCTTATGCCATCAAATTCTACTGTGTACGTTGTTGAACGGATTACACATAAAGGTATGTTGCAGACTTGCGGGCACCAAGCAGTATATAATGCGGATAATTTCTACTCCGAAACCCACCGTTTCTTGGCCAAGTGGCGCAGTGATATCATCGGATTGGAGTACGATTCAACCCACCATACCGAAGGATGTTGATCTCACGATCCCGCACACGAGCAATGTCTGCAGTTGTGGGTGAGCTCACCCCCAAAATGCTTCACCCGTTTAACTCCATTGGTCTTGCTGAACATTTCAACCTAATTTTGTCATTCAGGGGTTTGCCAGAAATTTGAATCGTTCTCCAGTTTTGCCTGGCCAAATTTGTCCAAATAAACTGAAGTGCACATACGGAAGCGTTGGTAACAATACACAGCCCGATGCTACACTAATTACTTGATGATCTTGATGCACTTTGCTAGGGTGTTCAAGCTCCCAGCCTTTCGATCTGCGTCCAAGGTGAGTATATGGACATACATGAGGACGTAGTGACATTTATGGTTGCGGGTTGCAAGAAACGGCAGATTCGCGTGTTTCAAATAGATGGCCTATTGTTCCAAAACGCACGTTTCCTAGAACAACTATCTGAGGTGTACATTTTCGACGTAATCTGTTCAGAACACTATCTTTAGACATTAGGATGGCCATAATTAATGGATGATTCTCGGCCATAGGCACTTAAGTAACCCGGAGTGTTTAGCCCATTCCTAGAGCTCGCGCAGTGGTAATTGTGCTTTTCATCATCGGTTAGAAAGAGAACTCGGAACGCGTTTCCAGCGACCGATGCACACCATCCTTAAAGGATTACCGATTTAGGTACACCGAAACACTAAAAGCACTACCAACTCACCAAGTTCTGATTATTTTACTTGGGCTGGTGCTGCAAGTTTGGAAATCCAACTACCCAGCTGGGCGACCAGCACAACAACTACTTATACAGACTCAGTTACCAGTATTCTGCTCGATACTTATAACCTTGTCTTATTCTATCATAATTAAAACCAAATTGCTACTGCGCACAAGGTTTCTACCTGGCAGAGAAAAACTACGTTTGTCCGGATGGGCTAAGTCCAATGAAGTCGGTTGTCCAAGATTAGATAACCCACCAAGACCTGTTTTGTCAAGAATGTTGTGTGAACGGAGAGTCAGTCTATTTCGACCTGGGATGAATTAGCATGAAGCAAAGGTTAACGTGGGAAATCGCACGCTCTGTAGCTTTTCATCACTTGCCCAACTATCATCAAAATTATATTGTGTTTACAGCTATTTTACCATCGCAGCGCGGGCCTAAATGATGATGTTTAATTATGGTACCAGTTCAGAAAGTTGTTCTCGGAGCTAGTAGGCAGTCACGAGCCAGATCATCGTGATTGTTACCAGTTGCTGTAAACGTTAAATTTATTTTTGGAGCCACTTATGTAGCACCACACATTCACACCCCATCCACATGCAAAGCTGTTCCATAGGGTGAAGCTAATGGAACAAACCCTGCCGTTATAAATTTGTAGCAACAAAAAGCCGGTTGCTAGTTGACTGTTCGTCAAAGCAGAAACAATCCAGCAGACATGCTGACCGGTTTGAACATTCCGAGCGCCGTTTGACATGGTCGATGGTGCTTTACTCCATCTAAAATCTGTGTTCATAGCATAGCTGTCAGAACTAATGTCTCGAATGGCCAGACACTTAAAAGGCTTATAAGACTACGATTCTCTTTACAGATCCATTAGGCGATTGTTGAATGAACTGAAAGGTATGGGGTAAAACGTGCAGCCGGTTTGCGTTATCCACGATGACGTCAGTGAAAGGAAATAGAAACAGCTGACATGATAATACTAGCAATTTGGTAGAACATTCCACACTCCAGGCTTCTGACTTCCATTAGGAACTACCACAATCTATGTTCACCTCAGAAAGGGGCACTGCCAAGTCTTCTAAGTGACAAAGAGAAAACAGCCTCGGGATAAATATTCATGACAGAGCACATGCTAACTTTAAAGTGATCTGTATTTTATCTTTAAATAGTTTACAATATGGAACCACTTTTAAACCTGGATTCTTTGCATTACCTATGATCACTCTTGTAACCAGAACCTCAACAGTATCAATCAGTCTCATTTAACACGAAGAAAGTGCTTTTTTGGAGCTAAATGGCGGTTATAGGTGTGATAAACCACCATGTACAACTACGGACGTCAGTAAGTAACCTGAATAGCCATCTCAAAATTGCGGGCAATCACACAGAAGGAAAATTTCTGCTCTTTACAAGATATTCATCAAGTGATGCACTGTTCACAAACATTTACGCCTGACTGGGTCAGCGAACTGACTGTAATGTGTGTTCGTATACAAGTGGAAAGACCCAAGTTCGCTAATTTTGAACGGAGTTGTCAATATCCGAATGTCTTTCGACGATCGTCATCAGTCTATTTTAGAGATCAGGCCTTAGATAGAAACTTCGGTACTCTGTGGCACTGGTGTGATATGGAAAGTAATTGTCAGGCTACTTTCAATGCCAGCTTATCCTAGCGAGTTATAGGCAAAATATTAGGGAACGTTCAACAGATTTGTCCAGCTGATTGCACGGATTGTGGATTGCAAAGTTTTTGTGGGTAATACTACACGACCAAATATTCAGTTTCAGTCACAAAGAGAGTATTTTTATAACACGTTTGACCGCATTTAGGTAGCTGACATAAAGAAATCGAGATGTAGTCCTTGTGTTCATGTAGTCTTTTTCAGACAGAAGTTGCCAGTCATGGCGATTTTCGTTATTTTTGCGTTCACTGCGCTGATATTATAGTATTGCAATAGGACTAAGCTTCCTAAAAAGCAATCTGTGTGTGAAAATGTAATTCTCCGGTATAGGTTTTTGACAAATCACAGGGAAATGCGCTGTGTGTTTGGAATGTGAAGTATTCTGATGGACAACTTGCCAGGATTCCTAATCAACTGAGACTTATTTTCAAGGGACATTATCTTAAAGTAAATTGGTGAATTATATTTCAGTGAGTTCTGTTGGCGACGGTCTTTAGAACCGGTTGGGAATGGTCTGTTCGGCTTTATTTCCAGGGTTCTCACATTAAGAAAAACTTGGAATGTTAATCCTTACATTCCAGGAGAAAAGCTTTCGAAACCGTGCAAACTAGTCTGAGGTAATGACAGCACTCCTGAAAATGATAATAGTTCTATTATCATCGGTGTGCTCAACCTTTTAGAACAGCATGTTTTCACTTAAACGAATTTGTCGTTACAAAAGCCTGCGTCAGTCTCCATAACCTCCGTGAAACTTTTCATTACTTGCAAATAAATAGTAGTACAACTGGAGACTGGGTGGCTACACCAGGTCTGCCTAACATCAAATGATCTACTGATTTTCTAAGAGGAAGCGTAGTGTGTGCTTAGTGGTGTACGTGAAATCATAATTTTATAGCTACTCAATAGCTAAAATAGTAGTGGATACAGCAACCACGCCCGATGAAACACTGGTCTGTTCAACTTCAGGAGGATGGCAGTTTGATTGGTATTGGAGTGATGAACTTTGATCATATCACTACTCTGCAAAAGATGACAGTAGAAAAAAATTATGATTTGGCAATGAATATATTTTACAATCAATGAGATGGCAAGAATTTAGTTATTTAGTCAAACGAAGTAATCATTCCACGAGTTGGAAAAATGGGATTTGCCACATCACGAATAACAAAGTCAGTCAGCAGATGTTCTTCTAACTACAGCCTATGGGTTGGCTTAGGTAGATTATTATTACTTAGATATTTTCCGTCCTACATTTCTGGATCATAAGAATCATCTGAACGTCTGAACTTTGGAGCATCAGAGGTCGTGTTCAATCACACCAACACCGTATTATTATAAAGGCGGCTAAGTGGCTAAGAGTTGCATGAAGAAGAAAAAACTCCAGCAGAAATTTTGACAGTTTGGCTTCTCATTGCGAACTGGGAGTGATCTTTAGACTAAATCACAGCTGTCTTCTTCATGCATATTCAATACACAGATTTGACAATTATACTTACCTGAATTAACGTTACATATAATATACTGCTTAAAAACGGTTGTACAAAGAGCAATACCTATGGTGTTATTCTTTAATAATGGACATGCGCAAAACTATGAGGTAAGCAACAGTATTCGAAATGCATTACCATCATCATCACCATCACCATCAATAGTAATAGTAACATTCTCATCACTGATTAGTTTGTGCACGCGGCTTATCAGTGTCATCGTTTTACTGTTGTTGTACAAGGTCATTTGTTCGCATTTCTCCCAATGAAGCCTCAACTAGTTGCCCTTGGACACAGCCGGTCTGTATCTAGTTGAAACGCGTGTTTGCATAGCCTGATTTTTGCCCTCACAAGCGGTCACATACAAAAGTGGGTTGATTGAATCAAAGAGTAAATATATACGTATTTGTCTTCCTGACCAAAAACCAGGCCGTATGGTAGATAGGTCTGCCATCTTTTGTGTGAAATTCAATCGAAAATTTCGCCACCAATCAACTTTAGGCTTCATAAGTAACGGCTTGAAAATAGCTTAGATACAAATCAGAAGGTAAGGTTTTGATTTGAGTATCATCTAAACACATCAGTGAAAACCCTCAGAGTTCCTCGTTTAAGTCACACCTGACTTGGTAGACGATTCACTCACTTGATATTTGTAACCTTTGCCGTCTTATAAGCAGGGTGGAAATATTTTGTCGCCAAACTGAGACGGCCGCTTCTACGGTCCCATCACATCACCTCATTTGCTTTCTTCTTGCCACCACAGAGCAGTCCGAGAAGGCAGACTCTTCAGGATGATGAAGTGTACTTGAATTACTTATTCAACCAATCAGTAACCCTCAATTCGTGTTCCAATTTTTTTGTGCAAACAAACAGAACTCGACAACATTTGTCATTATAGTTCAATCTATACAACCAGGAAGAACATCAGAGAAAATTTAATAAGTAGGAGGAAAACTGAAGCCGCTCGGAGTGGTAGATAGCTACAGTAAACCATAAAAGCCTTGAAGAGTGAAAGATTTAAGATAATGGGGTGTGATTGAGCAGGGCTCGAGATTTTCTGTAAAAGGATAGATGATCACCAATGAGTTCCATTCTAAACTCAATCATAAATATGATAACAGTTGGGCAATAAAAATGCATTTTCTCTCCGGTTCGACATTTGGGGCTCTTGGAATACTCTGGACTCACAAGAGAAAGCCGCACACCCTGCACATCTCTAGTTCGCCAATAGTCAGACGCTGAAAAGTGTCCACTGCTGGTATCCGCCGAAAGAAGAGTTCAGCATTCAGACATATCATCAATAAATTGATGTACATCGACATTAAGGAATAGAAAATTTTATTCTGTTGAATAAGCGCACTCGAAAACTTATTTATAATATCAGCTTAATTGTACGCGTGCGTACAACGTTCCGAACCACAGTGATTCCAATCTGAATGTGTGCGCGAATCCGCTTGCACCATCATCACCTATCATGACCGCATTTAACAATAACAATATGAGTCGGGCCAGATGGCAATAATTATATGCCATGTAAAGTCCATCGGCACCCCCTGTGGAAAAACTCATACGTAATAAACCAAACCGGACTCTTTGGTTAGCTGCCCACCTCCTAGAGGATCATGAACGCAGAATTGCTGCCTTGAGCGAATTGAAATTTAATCACCTGTGAGCGATTGTACTTGCTGTGAGTGGTATATCAAGAGAGGAGCAAGAGTGTTATTGAGGCTTTACAAAGCTGCGTAAGGTTTAGGCGTTTATACTGAAAGATAGTTGAGTGACGACATTCAAGTCCTTAGTCTGGCTTCTTTGGAAGCTACTTCAGCTTATTCGTAAAATATACTAATTTTTTATGGAGGATTAAAAAATACCCAGCTGACACACGTTTTTGATGTTCCTTGACCAAAAAATGCCACACAAATGGCGCCTCCTATTTCATTTAGGATGATAGTTGAGATTCTACATTACATAGTTTTGACTGAACATACTAGTCTTTAGGTTACCGACTTATCTTTAGCCGTTTTTGCCTTATTTGGCGCTTTTCAAGTAAACACAGTCCGGTGGTCTTGCCACGCTTACGTTCAACTGGATCCCAAATGGTATGAAATTTGCAAAATATACTCGTCTTTAAACTCAACTGAAGTTGGATCTTTCTTTTGTGATATTTTTTAGCTGAATTTGCTGCACAGGGGTTGTTAAAGAGCTGTCACACAATTTACTGCAATCTCATGTCTTGCGTAAAAGCAATATCATAGCTCGGATTTTCGTAAAGCATGTTCACCTATTCGACTTTGAATAAATTTAATTTGAAAGAAACCATCTTTTGCAGTGAACAGTGTAGCTAAATAGAATAGAATTTCGAAGATGATACCAAATCCTTTAAAATACAGAATTGTAGGTTGCTTAAACGAACTTTAGCCGATATCAGCCTGATATTAGCCAACCTTGGTTACATTAAATATGCCAACCAAATAATTCTACAGTTTTTGTACTTTATAGAATGGTCATCCTTGCGTCTATAGTCGTTGTTTCACGCTCCAGCTAACTGATGTTGTGTTCCGGCATTCTACTGGACAGCTAAGGCTAACAGGTGAGTATACGCACTAGCTTGTGGCAGACTTTCGTACCCGTCTTTCAAGTGGAACATCATGACAATGGGTAAAAATTAAACGCGATCTTTATATGTTGGACCAGCCTATATATATTACAAGCCCTCTGGTAATAACGCAGCAATCAAAGCGTCTTTAAAGGAAAAACTGTTATCCGGTTGATTCTTTGCCGCGGAGCATTTCTTGGGTTTTATTTTCGCAGACGGCATGGATGTACAATAAATAGCTGCAGATACCCATTTATAGGAAACGCAGGGATTTGTTGGAACGAAAAATTTAGCTCTCTCATTCAGACATCTAATTAGATTTCGTTTCTGTCTCAGCGAGACGAACGTAGTGAAGCGGATATGTTTTCCATATTCACTTTTTTATACATTGTTATGCGCACTTCCGTTCTGTCAACATTGACGATGAGTAGTTAGCTATTGTATTCGTGTTTCAGGGTAGATGAACACTAGAATAAACCATCTGGAAGGATTTTAACGAAGAGATGGAATTAGCGCTATCTTCCTCCTTCTTAGAGACAATACGGTCGTTGGATTAACGGATCTAATTAACCGTTTTGAGCTAACTCCTGAAGAAACATAAAAGTAAGAAATAGAGTGGGAATGCCATTGCGACAGCATCTTTGCACCGGCATACTTCACCCTTTACACTGAATGCAAGTTACAGATAATGAGTAGTGCAAGTGCTTTTGGGTCCGATTCAAAGATATTGACGATTTCACCAGTGCCAATAGGATGGATGTGAGTAAATTTATCAGCGTCCAAGAAACCTGGTTTAACTGGAGCAAAAATTTAAGCACAGCACTCTCAGTAAGGTGTTTTTCTATCCAGCTCAAGTACCCAACTCTTGAGATTTGGATCCTCTGAAGGAATTTTGTTCATCTGTCTAACGTATTCAACTGTACTCGTGGGAACGACCACAGCCTCTTCATGAGGTTTGTGGAGCAGCGTTTAGTCGTTGCCCTTTAAATACACTAAATTTTGATATTGTTTTTGACAGTTGTTTGCATCTAGTCTTGCGTTTGAGTTACTAACGATAAGGAAGTGCACTCTCGGGTTGAGTGTTCCCACACTTTGCTCTACATTCGGCATTGGATCAAACGGTCAAAATAATCAGACGGTGGTTTTGATCCACACGGTAAGTAAAGGAGCAGCTTGGCGTCCAAACGCCTCATCGGGTACCTTCGTTCCTCTGAAACACCCCGGAGACCCGCGCTTGTTATCTGAATTCGGAAAAATCTGGAGTTTGGAGGAAAGCCTTCGGAAGCGAAAGAGAAGTTCCATTTCTTGAATCACTTGGTTCCTTAACTGCCGTCTGGATGCTGTTTCCTCCAACGGCTAGAATTCCCATCCAAGTAGAAACGTTTTTCTCGTGGATTTCACAGTGTTACGCTCTTACTACATGGATGGTTTCAATATGAATGCACATGTTTTTGCAAATAGCCTGGTGTTCCACTTTTTAGAGGTAATCCCTATTTTATACCTAGAAACTTACTTCACTGATATTTTTACTCACGTAGGAGATCACTTCTGCGAATCGGTCTCCCAAACGGTAGCACGCTTGGATTATCATCCTAATTGAGCAAAAAAGTGCCAAATAAAAATTTCTTATCGTCCCAGCTTCACACATTTAGAACTGCAAAATCAGTGGTCATGGGCGAAAGGTGCACTTATTATGGGGTAGGCGCTTAAAAACGTGGATTACAAATCAGTCGACAGAGACCCTCAGTTAAATGAACAGACTGGTCTAAAGTTCAGCTGAGCATGCGAGTTCGACAGCGTGGCCAGTGCAGGCCCAAAGCTCGTACAAAACATTTGTAACAGGAAGTGCTGAGCAAGTGATTTTGATCGGGGCTTTTCAACTCGTTTGAAATGAAGGTAACATCCACGAACAACTTGCTCTAAACAGTCATCTGATTCGTGACGGTTGCAGTGACTGTGATGGCAATGCGGTTTGAGAGATGCGGAGGTATTTACTTGCCAAACCCAACTTGCGCAACCAACTGCGCAAGCCGATTGCCAAGCTCGGCGAACAAATCAAAAGACTGACAACAGACTTGACCAACAAACAATGAACTCACCCAAACTACTAATATTTCAATGCAATACCACTCCCTAGATATGATTTATTGGACCTTGGAGCCATATTTCTCATCATGAATCTGTCTGAAAAATCCCAACTCCTAACCCTGGGGGATGTATGTCTCTTAAGCTTTCAGTATACCGTCTGAGCATATCCTTCTAGTTTGATTTGGTGGTCATTTTAGCGAGACTTTTAGTAACCTGGTTAGATCGACATCGACAAAATAAGACAAACTGTGCGTCCCTTGTGAATGGGATTCGGATGGCAGGGAAGGGTTGCGAAAATACTTTATAAGGATAACAAGTTGAAAATAGAATAATACTAGAATAGTAACGTCATCCAAACTTAGACGAGAAAATTTGTGCGCCTAATAACTTTGTTTGGATGATTACTTTCAACCTTGTCAAAAATTCATCACCAAACATCCTGCCCATAGTACCTTTAAGTTGATAATAAAAGATGAGAGGGCCCATGTGTCAGTCCGCTCATTTATGGCATTCATAGATCATGTAAATAGAGGCTTGATAGACAAAAGAGGGCAACTTTGATTGAAAACAAGTGGTAAGCGGATATTAGGTACTTTATTATTTCAGGAAATCCAAAGGCCTTACGAAGTGTAAGGGTGTTTCTTTTTCTAAACCAAGGTACGGTTGGCGAATCTTTTTATGTCGATCGCCAGAGCAGGGAATTACGCTAAAATTGTCCGATATGTAAAACTTCCGCGCAGGAACTAACCAAAAATGATGTCCTACGATACTTTGGATATTTCAAAAGGAAATCAGTCATTATAAACCGCAGGGAATCAAATGTTCGTGGCAGCTTCATGAAAAATTGCAGTGGTTTGCATAAACCAGTGATTGAGAGCGGTGCTTCCTCTGAGCTATCATCTCAAATATATCTACAAACTGGTTACAAGGTTTGAGCAATAAGTCACCTTTATTGGCTAAAACGAGGCTTTCTCGTGGGGGTTGGTACCACCTAACTGAAAGCGACTTCATTGTTTTGAGATGATTTTTACAGATAGCCCCTGAACGATTCGCCTACACTCAATAAATTATGCGGATCGAATAATTTGGCTTGGATTGTTGGTTATCATGGAATAATTGGTCTGAAACGGACTCATGATATGTTGTTAAATCTCTTGAGGAAACAGTTCTGGTATTATGTCCTTGTTCGCACTCGAAATTAACACAAATAAACGTGAAGAGTAAATGCATTCTCGTCTTTAAATTGGCATTTAGAATGATGTTATCAGTCAGCTAAGAATCGGGCTATCAAAATCAGTTATAGACCGATTTTTGTGTGACCAGTATATATCTATCTTCATAACAAGTATCATTCTGAATTGCCTGGATACCATGAAGAAATCCATGCAGAAATGACTAGGTAACAATAAGGTAATATTCTTTCGGTGAAAACTGTAATGATTAACCTAAAAACAAGAGAAGCGTTTTTAACATGCTCCGTCGTTTTCTAGGTCGAGTATCACCAGCGCAAAATTGTTATTTTTCCTCTGAGTAAACTATAGAGAATCCATAGAGTGCTAAAATGATTAGTAAACCAATTGGATACTGCCATAGACTTCGATGCAAGTTCGAAGTCTTTTTGAGTGGAAAAATGTGGGAAATATGGGGGAGGAGGAAATATTTAAGTTCGCGTTTAGATATTTCAAAGTTTTAAGGGAGGTAAGTGCTAGTCATTTTGGATTTTGAATTGTCTTGGTTAGCTACGACACCATACGACAAATTGAGTAGCCGTTACATCAAAGTTAGACATCAGTCTCTGCAAAGGGGCAGTGTATGTCCTGGGTTTTTGCAGACATAAGACAACCAGAGTGATACGACAGAATGCAGTTTTTCATTACCATTTCTGAATGAACAAGGTGAGAGTTGGTATTTCAATTCAGAGTGTTTGTAAGTTATAGTATTGTTATAGTGTTGTTATAGTATTGCCTCAGCCGCATTGCAACAAAAAACCCACTTGTTTCACTAAGTAGTCGGACCGGTTATTTATCTAGTTATCAAGTCAAACTTTGTTAATGTGTTGAATATCCATAATATTCTAAAAAAAAGAAGGGTAGCCTGGGTTTCACGAAATTTGCACTTCATAACATTGTGCTGTTTTCTGTTGTGGAGCTTAGCATACAGACGTTTGGTAGCAGTTACAGCGATGCTTGCTTCATAAACCTGCCTAGCACAGGCGCGCTAGAAAGTGGATTCGGCGCATTGCGAAAATGCGTAGAAAATGTCCTCCCATTCCATTTTAAATCTTCCGTCATTGTGGAGCTTAGCATACAGACGTTTGGTAACAGTTACAGCGATGCTGGCTCCATAAATCTGCCTAGCACAGGTGCGCTAGAAAGTGGATTCGGCGCATTGCAAAAATGCGTAAAAAATGTCCTCCCATTCCATTCTAAACTTCCGGTAGGAATTCAGGCTCAAGATTGAAGCATGAATGTCTGATATCTGTTAGTAAGAACAATGTAACTGTCGTGAGATGCTGGTGTGAATGAGTTAATGGTTAATCATAAAATAACAAGTAGTTCACCATTTAAATCAGTTAGATAAAGTGTTGTGAATGACCAGGCGTCGATGCTAGACAATGGAATGCGCTCGTCCGCGCAAACTCAAAAACGCGTACATATTCTTGTTAGCTGAATTTCGGACTAAAAAACAGTGTCATGGGCGACCGGTAGAAAACATGCTGTGTGCTTCATATAAAGCCGTCATGTGAGACAATGCGAAATTCTTACGTTACTATTGTTTTGTTATGATATTTTTTAGCAAACAATAACTCTTACTTCAATGTGGTACCATCCTCCGGGATACCGAAATAATCAACCAGGACCTCGATATTTTGAGGCCGCGAGATCTGGAATACCGGACTTCAGACACCGAAACTCCGCGTTGATACCGAATGCAACCATGCTTACACAAAACAAATGAGTTAATACAGACTGTTGACCCACCGCTCTACTCTTTGAATTGATCAAAATTTGTTAAGGTATTTATTATCAAGTTGTTTGAGTCGCTGAATAAACATATAAAGGAATGCATTTTGAACCGCCTATTACACTAACCCTGGTTCATGGCTGCAGATAGTATATTGCAAAAGGGGTTTTTGAACTGATGACCATAAAGTAAATTTTGACACGTTGGTAAATCCCAAAATAGGTGAAATTGTGTTTAGGAACCGCATGAAATCTTTACTAAATGTGGAAATTAATAAATTCTACAAATAATAACAAAAACTAAAACAGTTTGGTTGTAGTGCAGTGGAATCCCAAAACCGGAAACATTACTCATTAACGGAAGATTCATCCAAGTCGTACATCCCATTGGTGTGCCTTATATTTTATATTAATGATTGGTTCTCCATTCTGCTCGGCCTATTTTCTTGTACGTGTCGGTTTAGAGGACATCGGTGTAACTTTGGACTTGTGAATTTTGGAAAATTACCATGTGGCAGCTTCACTTGATACAATGAATCGTGATTAACTGAAACTCGTCTGTTCCAGATATTTGCATCTAGATGTACAAATATATTTTTTCACAATGTATATTGTCACAATTTCAGCTTTGCTAGAACGCAGATTGTCAAAAACAACAATCGCATCAAGGCAATAATGAGCACTCTTCGTAATTTTGTGCACATTTCAATGAATAAAACCGGGTCGATTTTGGAAAAACGTAGGCTGCTGTCTCATTTTTATTCCGGTTTTTTTAGTGTTGGCTCGCCATATATTTGGCGCTAAGATGTATGAGATAACTTTTCGGTGGAGAAGACGAGTNTTTTTCAGTTTTTTTTAGTGTTGGCTCGCCATATATTTGGCGCTAAGATGTATGAGATAACTTTTCGGTGGAGAAGACGAGTGGCTATGTACATCCGAGTGAGAACATTCAGTATATAGTTCTCATTAGTACTGATAGCGTTATCAGGGAAAGAAGCACAAGATTAGAAATCAACTCCTTAGTGACCAAAGGGGGCATTCCACGCCAAAAGACCAATAAAACAATTGTTTTGGTGTTGTTACGGCGAAGTGGAGTAATGATACAAGACAATTTAGCCATAGAGGATTGGTGAACTAGAATGTTGGATCTCTGCGCTATGAGATATAGTCGCATGCATATTGCAACAGCAAAAACAAGCGATCAATTTCACGTTAATTCCGCGTGATTTGCCAAAAGAGAACTTGGTGGAAGGAATCTCGCAATTAGAAGCATAGTAGCTGGATTGGAACTATTCGTCTTAATTTTTCAAATTAAACGGATACCACGGATTCTATCGGACAACCGTATGGTACTCTGAACCAGAATGAATACACAAAAACTGGATGTAGACCAGAACAAATCGCAATTTTTTCATCCTCAGAACAAACAACGGCGAAATATTACCGTAAATTCGCCAGTTTTGACAATAGTTTTGAGTCTTCGCAGTATCATTTCGGCTACAATGTCACATTTAACAATTAGCAAGATGCTAATTTTAGTCCGTTTAACGAATCACATGTTCTTTGGAACAAGGTAGATTGGGTAGCTGTTTTGGCCAACCGTGTCCTCAAATCTTTCCAACTTGTCCTTCAGCGTGTTATCCGAGCAAACCCTCATTACTGTTGCCTTCATACAGTCATTTGGCAAACCAATCAGTACTTGTTCGACGGACATTATTACAGGCCAGCAAAATCCACCAATCTTAATAAAAATAAATGTGGACTAGATAAATACAAAACAACTGGATTCAGTAGTGAATATTCAATCTAAGTTTGGGATATGCCCCACCGCATGCCTAAAAACGAGTTTGGCGTTCCGGAAAATTCATCGGTTCATAGTCCCATTTTGTTGCACCGCAAGGTTGCAAAAATTGTTCGAATAACGATCGGCAGCTAAACGACCCTTGGTGACGTAAGCGTTTGTCTTCGCAGAACCAACGGTACGTAAAATTTTCACGCTCAATAAATTTTCACAGCACAATTATTAGTCTTCCCTAAAAGTCGTAAAAGCATAAATTACCCAGATGTCTTAGTGGAAAATAATAAAAGTGTATGGGGAAGGCACTTGGTGCGAGGCTACAGAAACCATTCCGAAGTGCCTACATCTGAGAAACTCATTCAGACACTTGGGGTAGAAACTGGAAACAAGAAAGCCACTGGCCTCGAGTAGCGACCATGTCACGAAGCTTATTCAACAATGTGCAGGGCAGATCCATCCGGATCCCATCCTCAAAGGTGGTCCGCGAAAAATTGGCCCCAAGAATTAGGTTTATTCCAAATGGTTTTCGGGCATTTCCTCACTCTTCACTACTACTTCTCTCGCCTTCCTTTTTCAGAAGGCAACTTTGTTAGTTTAAAAGCAACATTTGGTTAGGGCGTGGGAAAATGCGATAAAAAGATAACAACCTAATTTCCGTTTGTGAGCTCACTTCACAGAAGTTGCAGGAAAAAATCTCTCAGAGGATACCCAGCCCAACAGGAACCGTTTCGCCTGGTTATGTAAACGATGCCAGCACTTGCACAACCTATTGCAGTAGCCCTGGAATCGCCGCATACGCGAAGCCGTGATGGGATAGTTTGTTTGATGATTTTTCACGAATATTCCATAGGTGTTTCCGATACAACAAGCAGTATTTCAAAGCGAGTCAAGTATTCGGCCAGGGAATCCTGTTCACTCGATATTTCGAGTAAAAACAAGGCAGGCGTCGCAACTTTGTAATTGACTTTCAGTTGCTGGCGACAGTCGATGTCATTTAAGTAGCAGAGAATTCAGCCAGGACCAACACAAGACAACTGATTTTAGCACGAGGAGGCAAGGCTGATTCACAAATCCTGGTTGGCTTGATTGATAAAGACAGTCGCAGCAGAAGATTAAACACAAGGTGGAAACAATCCAGTATAAATGGAAAAAAGGGGATCAGAAATAGGGTTAATGGGATGATATCAAGAGGTCTTTGGGTTGGAATATGGATGGAAATCTTGCAGGTGAAAAGATGGAAAAAGTTTGGACATGCTAAGGCCAGGGGTGGTTGACTTTAGATGTGCTTAGCAAGCAGTAATCAAGTATACCAAAAAGCGACATAATACGATGAGAGCTTTTTTGTGGATACACCTTACTTTAAATAAGACTGGCAAATATGCTGCACAATACAGTCCCACTTCGGAAAGAAGCGAATTAAAAGGTAACATAATGCACTGCAAGACCTTCAAAAACTGCACAAGTAGACGATTAGTTCAAATGTTAGAAACTTGAAGGCGAAGACTCATAAGGTCGTCAGTTTGGGACTTCTCAACATACATTCTTCAAGGAGGGTTCCTAGATGAATAGTTGAGATATGACGCTTTCGTGGCCTGTATAACTGAAAGACTGAAAAATGTAAAATCAAACTGTTTCTTTTACGAGGAAGTGGTTGAATATACTGGGTGACCTTGTTAACTGAGCTTTTTTTAGTCCTTCGATAAGTAAATTCATTTGCAATTCAAATTGGTTTTCAGACGAGACTCGAGTGGGTCTTTCTGTTCAGGTAGAACCTAAGGTTGACAAAGACTCAGGGACTGCGCCTACTTGTTGAGCTCCAAGAAGAGCAAAACCGGTTGCCGGCTTTTTAATAGTCTTCTGCAACCTTGTGAGTACTTTCTTTGGTTCGTCCTGCTTATTATGGTACCGCTTTTTGGGTAGTAATCAAAGATTTGTTATTTAATGCTTTACGCCTCACCCTTCGTATTGTTTTTCTGTCCTATCCTGAGAACTCTTTAAAAGACAACTTCCCACGCTTAGTAACTACGACATGCATGCAGATAGGATGAGGATTCCAAGAATATCTTGCAAAAAGTTCGGAATTAGCCCAAAGTTTCCTATTATTCCGACAGCCGCATAACTGAAGCTATACTTCAAGTGCAAAAATAAGTCCACCAGATCTTTGACTACTCGTAGTTCTGTGATACCCTGCTAGTCTGGTATTCGGGTTGTTTTGTACACTCTCCCCGTCGTACAAATGATCAGTGGGTTTAGTGACAAATATCTGCGGCTGCTTTTGTTCAATTTCAATTTAATTTTCCTTATCAGTGCACCGTTCTTATTTGATGCCTCCATAGATGTAGTAATACACACTTTACTGCAGACTGAAGAACTTTCCTATGTTATCCTGAGTTAGCTTGACTACTATCCACAATATTATTAATAAGAAATTTGTCATCGAAGCGTAATCCATTTTGCTAGTCTACTATTTGGATAACTCTTGCTGATTCTGCACAGTTTCAGATTGAGACATGCCACCGTGACAAGTTTAGTCGGCACAATATGGTCTAATACTATTCATATCAAATGAATATTTCGTGCCCAATAATTACAAAAATAATTAAATATCTAGGTCCAACTCAGCAAAAAATCCAAAGCGAATTAACTATCTTCACTCCTGCATCACAGCGGCCCTCCGTAAGTTGAGGGCAAAACAAAGCTGACTGTCGAGCTTTTTCTCAGCTTCACAAAAGGGTTGTGACTTTCGAGTACACATTGGGGTAGAACAACTACTGGCCACAAAATCTACGCCGCCCAATTTTTCTGATACAGATACACAACCAACCGCGCTCTCACCTTATTTATTTAGCCAGTGACGAATTATATGCAAAATAGTTGTTAGGCTTGATGACAGGTTCAACCACTAGTAAAGAATAGAGATGAATAAATAATTCGACATCAGCTTCAGGAAGTGGACACTGAAAGCAATTCCTTAATAAGTGACTTCCGCCTGCTGACGAAAACAGATAAACTGCTTCCACCACGTCTAGTAAAAACATTTTACGTTCACGTCAATTTTACGGCACTCTTGTCTAAACTGTCCCCCATATCTTGACGTAGTTTGTTGTGTGATTCCTTACCATAAGGGAGAGCACTTGATTCGAGTTTCGCTCTTATAAAGGCCCCTAAATAGCACGTATCTTCAACTACAGAACTGATATTTGAGGCCAGCCTGTCAACGATACACCAACACTGCTGGACGCACCTGAATTATCACGTCTGAACAGGCGACCGCGTCCCCCATGAGCGACGCTGGACGCACCTGAATTATCACGTCTGAACAGGCGAACGCGTCCACACATGAGCGACGTGATTGATTAGCTCAGCTGCTGAGACGACGACCCAGTAACTGATTAGGTTGAGTCAGCTGACTGACATGTGGATTGACAATTAACATACTTGCGCAATAATCGTCAAGCATATTTAAAAACACTGAGACTAGGCATAACAACGAGAAAGAGGTGGGTAGACTCATGAAAATCGATGAGCACTACCACTTAAAAATCGAAATAAACTGAAATAAACTAAATCGAACGAGATTTAGCATATCCGATGAAACACAAATCCCGAAATAAAACAATTGGGCCAGCAATAAAACAACCATTAAAAATTCCACCGCAAGCAAGAAAACCGATAACAAAACCCGATTATCAAGACTTTTAGGAATAGTAAACTGAAAGCAAGTACAACAAATCACAAACTGTTGACGTGTTCATGAAAAAACGTACAGAGAAGGAAATATTTCCTCAATAAACTTACCACGGAGTTAAAGTCGTTGAGAACATTGATCCTTGGATCAGTATTAGGACAGTATCTAAATGTGGTGATTTTACTTAGTACAAAAACTCTGTTAGAAATTTATCACGCGGATTTCAACGTTTCTTTGACCCAAGAGTAGCGTGGAATACTTAAATTAACATAATAAAATCTTCACCCCTTTAACAACTGGTACCAAGAACTCGAGAGCTCTTAAACATGAAAAACAAACTAGAACAAGTTTAACGATATGCAAACAGAACTATCACCTCTATTTATTTATCATAATAAAGACGCTTGCGAACAATAATGCTGGGAATTTTACGGGACCCTGCTGTCAAATGGGATACGAGTGTCAAGTTCTACAATATCCAACTAGTCCATTATCTAAGCAAAAAAACAATCACAAAATACGTGTTAAAAAATTCAGTCGGATTGCGACAAAGTGTATTTCAGAGGGATTAAAAGGTAAAGAAATGTATTTTTACCCCCTTGGAAATTTTCCTCGAGAAATTTCACTTGGAGACTCCCAGTAAATGCCCGACAACAAATGTCTACTCGTTAGGACAGCACAAAATCAGAATAACCATGAACGCCACAAGCATATCCTGAATACACTGCCAAAGTAAAGAAGGCACGCCGGTTATGGTGAAAACCGATGTGATGAGCTAAGTTAGATGCAAAAATCGAGACAAGCAAGTAAGAGGCAATGGTGTGCTCAAAGTCATACGTAGCATACTAAGGCAGATAGGCGCTGAGAGAATATTAAGTTACGTAAGCTTGGTCTGTCTACCCTCTATTTAACTATCTATCTATGTGCCCAGCTATCGACTGAAATAACCAAACCACAAAGCTGGACAACGTGAAGATACCCAAGACAAATCTAATAGATAAAACTAACTGAACCAAAAACTGAACGCATGAAACAGTCTGACCAGACCAGCCAAGATAAATGTGGATTCACCAAACAGAAAATGAAAAAAACAACAAGTGAAAATAATGTGGGAACAAAAAGGCACTATTGCTGCTGAAAAAGGTTGGAAAATTCTGTCGTAAAACAACATAAATTGTCATCAGACTAATTAAATCAGATTGCCAAAACTACCACAATTGGATCAAACAAAAAATACGTTATTAAGTATCATCAT